GTCCTACACAGTCCTTTGTTTTATGCAGATGTAGGAGTTATGTTTCGCCAGCAGATGGCGCCAAACTTAATTTATCAAACTATTCAAAATACTGAAGGTTTCAGGATATTTACTTCTGATTGATTCAGTGGTTCAGAAACTCTCGGTTTATAAATCACTACTTCAATGTTAAAAGTGAAACAGGAATAAAAGCCTCACACTCCGGACTCCAAACCTGTTCAAATGTTAAAACGTTTAATGTGAAATGAAGTCTTACCTGTTCATGAAACACAGCTGCTGCTGTTCATCCATAGTTCTGTGAACACCGCAGTGCGCCCCGCAGAGCTTAGACACTAAATAAACTAAACTGACTTAACTAAACTAACTCAACTAAACTAACCTAACTAAAGACTGACCTCCTCCTGCACTGAAGTCTCCCGCGTTTAGAATGACGTCACAGGAAACAGTATAAACACCTGTGAAACACTCACCTTACTGCCACCTGCTGGCTGGAGGATCACAGTATCATGTGGGTCTTCTTCACTACAAAATGTGGCAATTTGACTAAAAACCTTCAAGCTCATCATCAAAGCTATTCCAGTTTCTATTTTACACTTGATTAGTGGAGTTTTAACAACATTCACCAGTGTCTTTCCTCATCTTCCACTARTCTTAACTGGTTTCTGTGATTTCAGAGAAACTCCAATTCAAAACGGTTTCCTTTTCAATCTGTCTTAAATTTATTTCCTAAAGATAATGTGCCTCTTTTGAGAATGCAATGTTTGAAATTTCACATTCCCTCCAAATAAAAGAAATTCATTACCGGACGTTTAATAAAACATCCTCAGTGACTTTCTACATCAGCGTTTAAACTACCTGCTGTTGTTTCTGTAATAATGAAATTAAAACTACAGAACATTTATTCTTTCTTTGTAAATTCTCTGATGTTTTTGTCAACATGTTTTAAATGGTTACAGCCTTTTCACAGCTGGGAAATTTCTGTCAGAAAGACATTATTTTTGGACTCATCCTGTAAAAACACATCTCTTTTGGTGAACACAGTTATAATTTTTGGTAAGTCCTGTAAGAAAATGTCTCCTAAATTTTATGTTTTTCTCAATGAGTTTCTTCTCTAAAAGCCTTTAAAATAATGGTGACTCCTGTCGCTAAGAAATTTCTCAACGTTATTGAAGAACATAATTTAGCAGTTTTGTAG